ATTTTATCCCGTTATGAAAATTCCCGTTATTCCGAATTTGTTTTTTGAAATTCGAAAATCTTTTCTTGAACCTTGTTTTTTTGGGAAAATATTTTCTGAAATTCGTTTTTCACTTTCGAAATTATTTCTGAAATTCGTTTTTCACTTTCGAAATTATTTCTGAAATTCGTTCTTCACTTTCTGAAATTCGTCTTTCATTTCCGAAATTATTTTTGGAAATCATTTTTCATTTCCGAAATTGCTTTTCATGTTCTGAAATTCGATTTTCAATTTCGAAAACTATTTCCATTTCGAAAATCATTTCTGAAATTCGATTTTCAATTTCGAAAGTTATTTTTGAAATTCGTTTTTCAATTCCGAAATTATTTCTGAAATTCGAAATTATATCTGGAAATTCGTTTTTCAGTTCCGAATTTTTTTTCTGAAACTCGTTTTTCAATTTCAAAATTTTTCTGAAAATTCGTTTTTCAATTTCGAAAAATTTCGAAATTTTCTCTGACGTTCGTTTTTGTTTTCGGGAATTCCTCTTGCAAACGTCCGTTTTCAAACGGCGTACAGTCTCACTTCACATATTCCGAATTTTTTCGGAAATTCCTGGGCTTGTGGAATTGTATCTTTTTCACAAGTTCAGTGTTTCCGTTATCTCCATTTGACACTTTGATTCATTGGCAGCCTAAATTTCGAAAAAAAATTTTCCGTTCAAATTGACCTTAGGGGATACTTGGGGGGGCCTACCGAGCTTGCAAATTCGAATTTTCTTTCTTGAAACTACTGCAAGTTCCCAATTTTTTTCTTGATTAGTGGCTCCATATGTGGGCGACCCACTTTCATTGCCCATCCCCTTTCTCTCCACCCCAACCCTTCAACCCTTCGGCGTCCTTCTTACCTGCCCATTCACCTGCAGTTGCAGGCCAGGTAAGTCCTCGCTTCAGCAGGCCAACGTCAGGGACCCGCCGCGCATGACCATACTTCTGATCCATCGCTCGCAGACAGCAGCGATGGATCAGGAGGCAGGCGAGACTGACGAGGCCTACGAGGCACGACTGGCGGCCATCCTGGCCGACACCAAGCAATGGGCAGACGCAGCGGCAGCAGCACGGAAGAAGAAAGAAGCAGAGGCAGAGAGACTACGTCTTCTGGCTGAAGAGCAGCGGCAGAAGCACGAAGCAGCAGCAGCCAGGGCAGCTGATGAGGAACGCGTACGGTGACCGGAGATCATATTCAGGGAGGAAAGTGCATTACACGCACAGGCCAAGGATTGGCAGAAGGAAGCCGAGAACGGCGATCCCGTTGACGTCGGGAGCAGAGTATCTCAGCTGCTCAACCGTGTCACGGACCTCCTCGCGACTTGCATCGCGCAGCAGGAGGATATCTACTCTCTCGACCACACCAACAAGGCGTTACAGCAGTCGCTGGACCAGACGTTCAAGCGCGTTCAACAGCTGGAGCAGCGGGTCGCTAACGCCAATGCCAGCACCGGCCCCTCCAACCTCGTCGACCACGTCAACATCTTGGAGATAGACGTGGGAACACTTAAGACTGGGGCACAGCAGCTGCAACAGCAAGTCTGCGCAGCAGCCGGCCCTGGCACAATGACACGCGAAAGCATTGTCAAGTTCGATGGGCTCCTGATCTTCTGTGACGCATCGAAGACCGACCCCATCCAATGGTGACGCCAGTTTGAACTCAAGCTGGACATCCACCACGTCATCGACGCAAATCGGCATGCATATTTGTACTCCCGCTCGGGAGGCGCGTGTAAGGCATGGTTGGACAATATGTTGTCCGCCCATGCATGTACAGTCACCGAGTTGCACAAGTACATCACCTTGGCCGATCTGACGGCGGCATGGAAGAAGCGTTTCCAAGTAGAACCGCCCGAGCACAAGGCGTTGGACAAGCTGCTGACGTTTTCGCAGAACAGCATGCCAAGCGGAGACTGGATTTCCAAGTTCCAACGCCTCGCAAGCACGCCCAAGCTGCCGCTGAACTTCGGCGGCATCAAGCTCTATTTCATCAAGAGGTCGTGCCCAGCGTTGCAGAATGCGTTGACTCATGTCGCCGACACCCTCACTACAAGTGAGGAACTCTTCAACAAGGCCGCGCAGATCATCGTGACGAACTTGGCAGCCCAGAATACGGGCCCTTTGTCAAATGCCGGCCAAGGCGTGCACCAACATCGGCCTAAAGTGGTCGTGGTCACAGCACCAACGACTAGCGACCCTTCTACTTCAAACGAGGCTGTTTCGTCTGACGAGGGAGACAGACTCGCAGCTGCCCAGAATGGTGGCCGCCCCGCCAAAGGACGAGGACGCGGCAAGGCGAAGACCAACACCAATACTTCTTCTGGGCCCGGGCAAGCAGCTCCAGCTCAAGGACCTTGGACAGCGTACGGTCTGACGGAGCGCGGGAATCGTGTCCGCACCAAGTACCGTTATTGTTTGTGGTGCAATTGCGCGGCCCATGAGACTGCGAACTGCCCCACGAAAGCCAAAGGCCCCGCTCAGTCGGGAAAGTGAGCTCCGCTGAGAGTGTTGCCACGACACTCTCGACGCCTACGGAACCGGTTGTCGATCGAGTAACCTCCCTCGGTTCCGGGGCACATGCGGACGTCGTAAGTCCTCAAATTCTTCATTCCTTCGAGGACTATGCTGCCCGACTCGTACCTTAGCTGGATTCACGAGCCCAAGGACAGGATGTATGTGCGGTCTCTTCTCCGATCGGAAGCAACAACATTGATTCGTCTTCAAGTAGACCTTCACGGGATTTGGCGCGCGCATTCAACATTGAGGACTTGGACCCGTTGACGCCCGAGGATTTTGCATGGCTTCCTCTCCCTTCCACCGGCTGCTTACCGGAGCCGCAATGCGCAGCTCTTCGCGCTCATTTACATACATACCTAGCTTTCTATGCACCACCAACCTCGCCTACGGAGGACGAGGTCGCGGTGGGGGACATTCTTGCGTATGTGAGCAAGGTGGCCCGCGAGTTTCGCACGCAGCGGTACGACGACAACAACGCACC